AAGAATTGTAAATACCAAAATTTTAAAAGTATAATTTTATTTTAAGGCAAAGTTTGCTAACTCACTTTGCTTTTTGTTACTGGGTTAAAAAAAAGAATAGTAATTGGACCCAGATAGCACCTACTGGGTCACTTGCGGGTAGACAGGTAACCTGGGTAGAAACGGGTAGATCACCTGTAGGTTACTCGTGAGCAATTCATCATATAATTGGCTAATTTACAAAGATCAAAATGGAATCAAATCAATCAAAAAATCTAATACGTGAATAAATTATAAGCAAAACTATCCTTTTATTCTTTTATATTCTAGTCATCACAACCTTTATTAAAAATATGACATAGCTTTTAGCTTATAAAAAAGCAATAACATATATGAGTGTTGCTAAAAGAAAACCTGAAAATTTAAATATAATTTATATTTAAATTTTCAGGTTTTCTTTTAGCAACACTCATATATACTATATTATAGATCTATTTTACACTTACTAATCTAGTAATTAACTTCATAATATTCAAGATACATAATTAATATAAACCTCTATTATAATAGCGTATTAAACAATCCAAAATTTTTTTTTGTTACCCGTTTTTAATATTTTTAACTCATATAGCTAGTACTGGCAGTATATAGTAAAATATTCACTTTTAAATAAAGTTCTTGAGGGTACAATGAAAAGAATATGAATTAACCATTGCTCTTAAATGTCTTAAAGTTGATACCAATTCAAGTTTAGATGAAAATTATTAAAAATTTTATTAAAAGGTATTTATTCTGTATATTAAGATTTATGTATCAAACTAATCTCTAATTTTATTTAACAATCGTTTATTATATAGTTACAATATTACCTCTATACTTTATTTTAACCCTTTTCACAAAATTCATAAACCTTATAACTTAATTTCATAGTATTAACCTATATAATCGTTTTTTTTTTTAGTTGAGATTATGATGAAAAGCTTTCACATGTAAAAAGCTAAATTGCTGAGTTTAATTGATTTATTATACTTATAAGCTAAACTCAAACATTTAAATATAACTTCTGAATTACTTCGTAGATTACTAAATTATATTGATAGTTTATAAAATGAGACATATACTTTAAAATTTCTGTAGTTCAAACTTTACCATTTCATATTCGTGGTTACTAACCTATTTTTGTTGCAAAATATTATGATATAGAGTATATATTATAAAAGATTTAGTCGATCATTTAATCAAATTAAAAGCATTCTATCCGGGTTCTATCTGGGTTCACCCGTTAGTTGCCCACCCAGGTGGTGATTTTTTTGACGGGTCCAATCACTAGAAAAGAAAAATATTAATGCGATGAGACAAGTGTATTATGGCATCACAATTATCATACAGAGATTCTAGAAAACTAAATTTTATTTGTTCTAGAAATCTAATGGAATATGTATAGTTTTTTTTTTGTAATGCTATCAAGAACTATCAATAGATAGTTTGTGTATCTATTTTTATATGGCGATGATATGATCACTTTCTCCATATAAAATTATATTATGTTTTTTAAAATCATAACTCCTCAATGAATAAGTCAAAATTTGCAAAAAAATCCGTAATTTTGTAAAACTTATATAAGACTACAATATAATACTTTTTTTTTTGTAAATTTTTAAGTATTCATTGAGGAGTTACAATTTTGGATATCTTTAGATTTTGTACACCGTAGATGAATTGTCTATTAATTATATAAAATTAATAAAATAATTTAATTAATGATCCATGAAGAAATTTCTATATTAGAGAATCATCTAAAGCTGTATTTATCATGTAATCTAAAACCAATAGAATTGTTTATTTTGATCAACACAAATCAGTCTGAAGAGACAAAAACAGTGAAAAAAAAGTAAAAATTGTAAAAAATACAAGAAACGATAGTCTAAACCCATTTTGGTGTATTAATAAAAAATGTTGAGAAAACAATTTTACTAATAAGACATGTCCTGACCTTAACACCAAACTAACCCTTACCCTAACTTTAATTAAAAAACAAAAACATATGACTGGACATAGCTTTAGACATCTTCCTAAAACATTAAAACACTAAAACACAAACAACAAAGTGCTAAAGCACTAAAGTACTAAAATGCTAAATTACTAAAACACAAATT